ACATATATGTATATATATGTACAACTCCTTCACTGTTACAGTCAGTCCATTTCAAGGTGGCCACCATAGGTACTCCTCGTCAGCCATCTCAGACACGGTTCTTTGTTGTTCCAGGTGAATTCGTGAATTGGTCGTTTGTCTCTTTCAGTTCAGGAAAACAGCAGCTCAGCACCCAGCACCAGGAGAAGGAGACCGCTGCAGCCCACGGTCCAGCTGTGGCTGCTGGTGAGCGTTGTGACCGCGTCTGGCACTATGACGAGGACTTCCGGTCTATAGATGGTTCTCCTAAACCAGCGTCACCAGGATCCTTTGAGCAGGGAGAGGGGGCAGCTAGCAGTGGGGGCTTCGTGGCTCTTAACTTGAGCTCGGGGAGGCAGGACGTTGACTCAAAGGAATGGGTAATGGTGGAGCGGCCCAGTGGCTCCCCCAGGGCTAAAGTTACCAGCAGCCCTTCGGAGGAGGATGAAGAGCCAGAGGTGCTGCAGCTGGAGGAAGAGTCCCCTGGATGGGAAAAGGGCAGGCCAAGCCCGAGTTCTGGCCACGCTCAACAAGAAACAGTGGCTCCCTCTAAAGGAAGTGCAAAAATGGAGCTGAGTGTGGACCCTGCAGGGGATGTGCCCCCAATGACAGCAACCAGCCCAGCTGAGGCTCTGGCCGAGGGAATCCTCACGCAGGTAAGAAGTTTGAAGAGCATGTCCCAGGAAGCGTCTGCAGTGAGCGTTTTACAAGGATAGGGCGCTGCGCGAGTCCTGAGGCTGGACTCAGAGTCCGCTCCAGCACTTTGTGTTAGTTCCAAAGTTCAGCTGTATTAGTATCCATTCTAGCATCGTCCGGTCACATGGTGCAGTAAAAGTATGTACTCTGTGGATTATTTGAGATACAGCAGAATTCAGCCGCACGGCCTCACTCTGCAACTCTTTACGGTGACTTTCATCAGATACTGCTAAAATACTGATTTTTATTTCTCATGTATGGTTCGTCCCCTCCTGGAGGAAAAATGAAGACAATAAGTGTAAATAAAGTTCAAAAATGTCCAAAGTATAAACGCTGCCCCCGCTGGAATGAGCTGAAAGTTGTGACACTTTTCTTTATTGAACCTTCACTAGTACAGGGAGACTCAGTGTAGATCGCAGCGTTCACATAAATATACATCAAACATGTGATTTCAATGTAAAGCCACACACACGTCAGCCATCATGAACTTATTTCCCATATTCATTAGTTATATGATTTATTCTACAACTTTAAAATCTTCAAAAATACTTAGATCATTATTTATACTTTGAGTACATTGATAGTTCTAGGATAGTGGTGCTAACTGTGTAAATGATGCAACAAAAAGTGTACAAATATTAAGAGACAAATTATTGGGTGCGATCGGTGTTAAAAACATAACCTCAACAAGAATGAACAATAAAAATAATGTTGCCACACAAAGTAGTTCCTCCTAAAAACCGTGCAAAGGTTTGCTTCTGTTTCTCAGTATCTGGACAGTTTTCCAGTAAAAGTAAATGGTGATTTATTTGCAGTTATGCTCAGGACAGGCCTTTTATTCTGAAAATATTATTTCAAATTAAATTAGAAATTCAATCGAAGAAGCTGTGAACATGTTTATCTGCTTTATTTTACACAGATAAAATTATTTATTATTTTTATTTAATAAAACCGTTTCAACAAGAGGCAGCCTCGACCCACAACAGGGAGAGACAAGGCGACGGCATTGTGCACAAAAACAACAAAACAAATATTCAGCAACAAATATTGTTCTTCACAGACAATGTAACACAAACTGTAACATTTGTATCGATAGCAGTTTAGGAAACTGATCCCATCCTGCTAATATTCAGCTGCTGCTGCTGATCCAACCATCCTGCT